GGATGGCCTGCGGGCTCTGTCCATGGAGCACAGGCTGCCCTGGTGTTAGCCAGGCCCTCCTCGGGGCCCTGCCAGGCCGCTCCGCCCCAGGCGAGTCTGCCCGTGGCACAGGCCACGTCTGGCGTTCCGTGAGCCCGGCCACGCGCTCGCTGGCCTGGCCTGGCCGCCGGGGCGCTCGGGTGGGAGCCCCGAGCTGAGTTTCCAGACGTGGGGTCTGCACGCATGTGCTCCAGGGCACGGCGGCCTGGCGGCCGGGAGCCTGGCGGTGGGCAGCGGGGGCCTGGTGTGCCGCCCACGTTTTCTCACGTGTGGTGCCCCCAGGGTTCTTTGTTCTTCTAGAATCCCAAACGTCTTCTCGAAATCATTGTCACTTTTTATTTGGGATGATTCTTGCATTTTGTCTCCTCTTGCTGGGTTTTGTTTGGGCTTCTTTTTTAAAATATGCATTTTATTGATTTTTTACAGAGAGGAAGAGAGGGGGATAGAGAGTCAGAAACATTGATGAGAGAGAAACATCCATCAGCTGCCTCCTGCACGCCCCCTCCTGGGGATGTGCCCGCAACCAAGATACATGCCCTTTACCGGAATCGAACCTGGGACTCTTCAGTCCGCAGGCCAGCGCTCTATCCACTGAGCCACACCGGCCAATGTGTTTGGGCTCCTGGCAGCGCTGACGGCCGCAGGGGTCGCGAGTGTGCCTTGGCCCCGGGTCCCCCCTGACGGCTCGACCGTCAGCGAGGAGGAAGCTGCTTGCGCAGCGTGGTGTCGGGTTTCTGCCTCCGGTGTCAGACCTCGCCCCGAGGAGTGACAGGCTGCGCCGAGGGCGTTACGGAAGGCGGGCTGGCGGAGGGGTGTGTGTGTGTGTGTGTGTGTGTCCTCAGGGCCTCCTGCTCACATGTCCGGAGGGGGTGGTCCGGCAGAGCGTTCACTGCGCCCTCTCCCCCAGGTGCCCATCATCAAGCTCACCGACTCCTTCACGGAGGTGAAGGTGGACATCAGCTTCAACGTGCAGAACGGCGTGCGGGCGGCCGACCTCATCAAGGACTTCACCAAGGTCAGCTCACTCTCCGGGGCCGGGCGAGAGGAGGGCGTGTGCCGCGGAGGGCTCCCCCGCTGGTGCTGAGGGCCGGCTCCCGCTCGGCGTCCTCACGCGGAGTCCGGCCCTCCTTCCAGAAGTACCCGGTGCTGCCGTACCTCGTCCTGGTGCTCAAGCAGTTCCTCCTGCAGCGCGACCTCAACGAGGTCTTCACCGGGGGCATCGGCTCCTACAGCCTCTTCCTCATGGCCGTCAGCTTCCTGCAGGTGAGGGCGCCGGGAGAGCCAGAGTTCCTCATCCCCGGAAAGGTGGTTTGGCTCTTAGTCCCCGTGCTCTGGTGGTGGTTTTTCACGCCGGTGTACGGAGGGGCGTGGCTCCGTAGCGGTGACCAGCCGTGGAACTAGCACAGCCATGTCCTCTGAGCCACTCATCTGTGCGTCCGTGGACGGGCCTGCGAGGGGCGAGGGGGCCCTGAGCGGGTACACGGGCGCATTGACGCAGGGAGGCTCCCCTCCCGGGGCTGCGGTCAGCCGGCCGCCCGGGGCCAGCGCGGCCGGGAGGCGGGCCGGAAGCGGGGGGCGGGGGGCGGGGGGCGTCCGATGTCGCGTGTGTCCCCGGGCAGTCGGAGGACGTGCAACGTAACTTCTCTTCTTCTCCTTCTGGTTGTAGTTGCATCCCAGGGAAGATGCTTGCATCCCCAATACAAACTATGGTGTTCTCTTAATAGAGTTTTTTGAATTATATGGACGGCACTTCAATTATTTAAAGACCGGCATCCGGATAAAGGATGGTGGCTCATATGTGGCCAAAGACGAAGTTCAGAAGAACATGCTGGATGGCTACAGGCCCTCGATGCTCTACATCGAGGACCCGCTGCAGCCAGGTACTGCGGCCGGGCGGGGCGGCGGAGGGGCGGGCGGGGCCGGCACGTTTCCACCAGACGTCCAGGATCAGCTGCTAAGGTGGTCACTCTCTCCTCATCAGCATGGTTCACGAGCAAATATGTGGAAGTCCGCACACACCAGGGAGAACATGCGAGAACACACACACACACACACACACACAGAGAAACACACACACGGACACACAGAGACACTCACAAACACACAGACACACACAGACACACAGAAACACACCCACACGGACACACACACACACAGATACAGAGAAACACACACACAGAGACACACACAAACACACGGACACAGACAGAAACACACACACAGGGACACACACATACACAGACACACACGAACACACACAGACACACACACACACACACCAAAGAACCTGCCGCGGACCCTTGACGAGTGGGTTGTGGTCTGTGTCTCCGTTCTCCGCCTCACCCGTTCGCCTGCTGCCCGCCGGCTTTGTCTCCAGTTTGGCTGGCGGGGTGACGGGCGAGGAGCCGTAGGGCCTCGGGGGTGAGCTGTGCCGCCCGTCACGGTCCTGGCACTGCTCCCCGGGCAGTCTCCTTCCGGCAGCATCTGTCCTTTACCCGCTCCGGCCTCCTCCTCTCCCGCCCGCCCTCCGTCCCCGAGGCTCCTGGAGGCGGTGCCTCCTGGCAGGAGGGAAGCACGGTCCGCACCGCCGGCCTCTGGCTGTGCCGTGTGACGAGGGGGAGCCAGAGGGCAGCGTGGCCTCGGCCTGTGTGTGGGTCCTCATCGAGGGTGGTTAGCGACCCGCGGCCCGGCTCCCGGCGCTGCTGACCGTGGGTGCCGCGCACACGCGGAGAGAAGGAGCGTTTGGCCAGGGCGCTCCGGAAGCGGGCGTCCTTGTTGGCAGGACGGCCTGGGGGTGCCCGAAGGGCCAAGCCGTGTTGGCTGAGCACCGATCTGACGGCTCAGCCGGGATGTCCACGCGCCTGGAGTTGGGTCGCTCCGGGCCCGGGCAGCTCCGGGCCCCGACCGCCCTCTGACCGCCCCTCTCTGCAGGCAACGACGTCGGGCGCAGCTCGTACGGGGCCATGCAGGTGAAGCAGGCCTTCGACTACGCCTACGTGGTGCTGAGCCACGCCGTGTCGCCCATCGCCAAGCACTACCCCAACAGCGAGACCGAGAGGTGGCGCCCCGTCCCGGGCGGGCGGGCGGGCGGGCGGGCGTGTGGGTCCGCCTCAGCTCACCCGCTCCTCTCCCCGCAGCATCCTGGGCAGGATCATCAGGGTGACGGACGAGGTCGCCACGTACCGGGACTGGATCTCGAAGCAGTGGGGCCGGCAGAGCAGGCCGGAGCCCGCGTGCAACGGTGAGTCCCCCGCCGGAGCCGCGCGCTGTCCCCAGGGCGCCTCGGGCCTCGGGAAGAAACGCGCTCTGCTCTCCGCCCCCCCAGGACACGGGGTCACCCTGGTGGTGGGGCCCCCGCCGCTGGAGAAGTGCGCCCGGGGCCTGCCTGGCGAGCACGACGGCCTGGGCAAGAGCAGGGGCAAGGCCGCCGAGCCACTCAGCAAGCACTCGTCCAACTCCTCGTCCGGCCCCGTGTCCTCCTCGTCCGCCACGCAGTCCAGCTCCAGCGACGTGGTGAGTTCGGGCGGGGGCCGGGGGCGGAGGGCTCACTCCCTGCCTGGTGCTGGGAAGTAGTGGCGTCACCGTCGCCTTAGAACTGTCGGGAGCGAGGTGACTCAGAAGCGGCGGCGGGAGGAGGCAGATGTGCGGGAGGGAGGACGACTGAAACCCTCGGGAGGAGGAGCCGGAGGAACGTAACCGTTCCCTCGTGTGCGTCCTCAGTCCTCACTTCCATCGGTCCGGGGCTCAGCCAAAACGGTCCCATGTGACGGGACTGAGGGTTAGCGTGCCCCATTGTCACCCTTCCGCCTGTCAGGACTCGGACGCAACGCCGTGCAAGACCCCGAAGCAGCTGCTGTGCCGCCCGCCCGCCGGGAGCCGCGCGGGGGCGCAGGACGTGGCCGCGGAGTCCGCGCCGGCGGGAGGGAAGGCACAGAGCGCCCCGGCCCCCGCCACGCCCGGCAGCGCCAGCAAGTCCCAGGTGCGTGAGCGCGTCTCTGCGAGCAGCCAGTGCGGGCATGTCATTCCTCACATGTCAGTTATACATGCATGTCATTGTTCCTTAAATGTCAGTCACATGTGTGCGTCATTGTGAGCAGTCAGTGCGGGGTATGTCCAGCTTCTTCCCTGTCGGTTACACGTGTTCGGTGTGGGCTTGCAGAGACTCAGGTTAAAGAGACACGTGTTTGGTGGGTGTCTAGTGACAGGGCCTGCCCCTGGACACAGGCCTCTGGGCGTCCGTCCGGTCGTGGTGCGATGCCGGCCGCCGCCCTCATGCCGACCTGGCAGAGCGGCTGCAGGTGCGGCTCTCGGTGGCCGTGGCCACGTGCGCACCGGGAATAGTGGGGCCGGGCCGTGGCTGTGGCCGAGGCAGGGCCGGGTGAACGGTCAGGCAGCAGCTGGCCAGCTCAGTGGCTTGGCGTCCACTTCCGCTTGCAAAGGCTCAGGCTCCTGTGTTGGCGTGTGTGTGTGCTGTGTGCTGCCTGGAGTTGTGTCACCCCGGGCCCTGCACCGGGGAAGGAGCCATTTGCTCCTGGCCCGGCCTGAGGCCATCCCACCTCCCACGCAGGGCGTGTCCATCACGCTGCCTCCAGTCCTTCCTGACCTGCAGGTCCTTCCCGGCACAGCCTCAGGCCCGGCCCCCTCACCCCGAGGGGCAGTGAGCGTGGCAGGTGCCGGCAGGCGGGTGGTTGCGGGGCCACTTCCTGTGGCATCTTGTCTGGAGGCCCCTGGGGAGGAGTGTGCCCCACCTCTGGGGGCCAGGGGGTCTGCCCTCGGCATTCCCAGGGACAGCGCCAGCCGAGCCGCACGCCTGGCTGTGAGCACTCGGGTGGGCGAGCCGGCGGCGCCTCCCGTACTGACCTCTCCCCGCTTCCTCCCGCAGCACGGACCCGCCCGGCTCTTCCGCTCGTCCAGCAAAGGCTTCCAAGGTACCGCTCCCGGCAGCCACGGCGGCCTGGCGGCCAGCAAACCCACTAACCCGTGTTTCCACGGCAAGCGGAGGAAGCACAGGAGGGACGCCCCCCTCGCCGACCTCTGTAGGTAGTCGGCGTGGCCACGGACGTCTGCTGCCTGCAGTGGCCTCCCGGGGCTTCCGGGGGCCGTCGGGAGCCTCCGGGGCCCGGTCCGGAGCCTGGTGCCGTCCACGTGCTGATTCCCGCTCGCCACGGAACAGACCACCAAGACTGACGGCGGCAAAGCAAGCAGCACCCAAAGGGGCAGCTGCCCGCCTGATAAGGCCTAGGCCACCACAGGGTCGTTCCGAGTCTGGATGGAACGTGAATCTTCCTCGCCCCGTTGTGCAGAGTGAGGGGACAGGGCAGCGCGGGAGGGGCTGTCGGAGGACAGGTCTCACGGGAAGCCCAGATTCCCGGGGGAAGGGGTCTGTGCATGTGTTTTTAAAGTATTTTTGCATATATTTACCATTTTATTGTGTGTATATATAGATGACCACATAGGAAATGGCTATTTGTAATAGTGGATTTGTTAATACTTTTTACAGAACATGACTGTTTAAATTGTAAACAGGTTTTTCTCAGGATTAGTTTGCAAAATAATCTGAATTGTCACCCGAACATCCACGAGTAGGGACGTGACTGCTCTTGGGTTCGATTCTCTCTGCCCTGTGGGGACCCCCCAGGGACCAGCCGCTGCAGGCACGCCCCCTCCCTCGAGCAAAAGTGTACGGTGGCAAACGACGCTGATTTTATTTTGTATCCGTGCTCTGTACTCCCGCCTGCACACTGAGCTGACCGCTCCGACACCAGCCGCCCCGCTGCTGGCGTGCTGTCTTTGGGGCGTGGGCAGGTACGAGATCCCATGTTTGTTTCCTCTGCGGGTTTTTTTTTTTTTTTTTTTTTTTTTTTTTGTGAGGCCACACGTCTGTCCCGTTCCCGCCGCGCGAGCCCTGGGTGCGGACTCTGCTCACCCGGGCGCTTCGCCTGCCCGTCTGTCATCTCTTTTAAAATCCGCGCTCCCGTGGGAGAGAACACCTACCTGGAAGCAGCTTTAATCAAATCCCAATCACAGAAGCTATTTTCTTACATCCACTTCACGCTCTCGGTTTGTCCATCTCTCCCAGCGAAACGGTCTTTGGTGACGGGCCTTACGAAGACCAAATCCTTCTGTCATCCCAGTCTTCCTCCTCCTCCCCCCACAGAATTGTCACTGTGTTCAAACATCGGCCTGTTTCAATCACGTGTCAATCTCAGTTGTGATCAGCTTTGAGTGCAAACAAGATGTATGTTCTGTCGCTCATCACATGTGGAATATTTACTGTGACCCCATGAATGTACGTGGGTTTCTGAAATCACTGTCTGCAGGTGGGAGCACTCCTGTCTAGCATCCGTGTGTGGCTCTGTCCGTGACGGCCATTTCCGAGATGAGATCCTTTTCTGTATACGTATGTACACGCATGTGAATAACTGTCGGTTTTTAGGAATTTCTTTTCTGTATTCACGTATGAAATACTGAAGACCAATCAGACCACGAATGGACACGTAGTGCAACTTTCTATAAAGAAAATAACGCGAAAGTGAGACCAAAACCGACGTCATCCCTGAAACCAACCATTTCCAACATGTTGGTTATTTTCATTCATTCACCACCGGAAGACATGTTCTGGAACTGGAGAGCCACCCTCTCCCCCGTCCACCCCCCTCCCTGTGTGAACGTGGACAGTTTCCAGCGTGCTGTTCCTCTGACAGGCCGGCCTGTTAAACCTGGAGGTGCCCATGTGATTCTGATCAGGGTTTTCTGTATCAAGTGTCGAGCTGCTTTTTGTTCTTGGGAGCTAGTCTTGTCCTAACGTGTTGTGCGCATAATCACAGTATTTATTTCCTAGGACTATTGCGAACGTGTAGACATATGTTTGCTGCTAAGGGAACAATTATTTATACAGCGAAAAGGGATCCGGCGTCAGCTGCCCACCGCGGACCCCCGGTACCTGCGGAGCCCGCGCCGCCGGCCGCCCCGCTCCTCGGAGCGTCGCCCTCGTCGGAAGCGAGCGTCCTAGGGTGCGGGCGGCCGCGCCCACCAGCGTGTGGCGGTGCTCCAGGTGGACAGCGGGAAGATAATCTGATTCCATTGGGAATCTTAGGTTTTCGTACACTTATTGGGAAATTCGTTTTTCCTGTACTGCGAAGTTTCTTTTTGGTAAACAGTATCTTTCTAAAAGAAAAAGAAAAAAAAAAAAGCATGACGGAGAACGTGAGGCGTGTGCGTGTCCTCCGGCGACCAGCACTGTACTCTGAATCTGTGTATCTGCAGCGGACAGCGTGGGGCTGTTCCTTTCCGACCCGAAGTAAAGAACTTGGCAGAACTCGCACTGTGCCTGTGTGTGTGTGTTCTGTCGCCTTCCCTCCCTCCGTGCCCCCGACTCCTGCCTCTCCCTCCTCCGATCCTGGTCCTCCGGGCCCTGGCTCTCCACCTCCCTGATGCCGCGACCTGCCAGTACAGCTCCTCATGCTGTGGTGACCCCCAACCATAGATTATCTTCATCGCTACTTCATAACTGTGATTTTGCTACTGTTAATGAATCGTAATGTGAATATCTGTGTTTTCCGATGGTCTTAGGCGGCCCTGACAGCGGTTCTCAACCTGTGGGTCGCCTGATCTAAAGTCTCGGCAGACCCATCAGATGTGTGTCCCCGGAGGAGGCAGCCCGCCTGCCCGCCTGCCCACATGAACCATGACCTTCCTTTGCCAGCACTGGGACACGGGTTACCAATGCCCTCCCCCCATGGGGGACGTTCCGTTGGCGGCCGTGTGTGTGTGTGTGTGTGTGTGTGTGTGTGTGTGTGTGCGCGCGCGTGCACCCAGTCCGTGTTAATGCTCCTTAAAACGTCATCGGAAACGTTTAAGAACTGGCGGTTGGAGGTGCCGGTGGATCAGAGAGGCGGGGGTTCTGTGTTGGGAGGAAGTGGGGAGCTTTCCCTCCAGGCTGGAGGTGTCCGGGAAGGTGCTGGTTTCAGCGTGCGTCTCGCTCGGAGAGGTTCCCCTGGCTTCCAGCTCTCGCTTGGACCAGGGACCGGCTGGCTTCACACGTTTCCGCCGTCTGGTCCTCAGGATTAAGGGTCCCCCTGTCTGTCCATCCGTCCCGTCGTGAGTGTGTCTTACCGTTCCTTGCATCTAGGTCCTCCGTGAGCCTTCTGTGCTTGGGCTCAGCATTCTTGGGTTGGGTAAGCGTGGGCAGTAACAGTCACCCCTTCAGTGCCTCAGTCCCCCTGTATGTTCTTCCCGTCCCTCCCTCATAAAATGCCCCGTGTGAGCTGTTGGCCATGCCTGGTGGACTAGGGTTTGGGCTTTCCATACTGTGGGCGGTCAGGAGAGGATGACTGCTGTGAGCGCAGGACCCGATATTAAAATACAGTTTTTATCTCAGAGGAAGGGAGAGGGAGAGCGAGATGGAACCATCAATGATGAGTCATTGATGGGCTGCCTCCTGCACGCCCCACTGGGATGGAGCCCACAACCTAGGCACATGCCCTGACCGGCAATCAAACCGGTGACCTGCTTCACTGGTTGACGCTCAGCTGCTGAGCCACCCTGGCCAGGCTGGACCCCGTATGGCTGTGATGTGCTCACGGCCATGACCTCACCTGTGACAGGGTGTGGCTATCAAGGTCACTCTGTAAAAATCCCAGAGCTCTGCTAATGTTTTTATCACTGATGACGACATCATCTCGATTTGATAGTCATCTAGAGTTTTATCTGTTTCTTCCATCCTAACACGGATGTCTCAGTGTGTTAGTCACGCATCAGGAATGTTGGTGGGGGACGTGTCTCTCAGTTAACTTTTCAGAAAGTACATGTTGAAGTGTAAAACCGGCGTCGCCGATTTCGCCGGGACCGATGGGCTGCGGTGACGGGCGGGATGAGTTTATCTTCCCGCCAGCTCGCTCCTCCCGCGCCCTCTGAACTGTCCGCTGGGCCGGCAGCGGCCTTCCCAGGAAGCCGTTGTGAGCACAGCGCCCGCTGACCGGCTCTCTCACACTTGAAGGGAGGACAGCCCCGTGTCATAGTTACTCCTCCAGATCGCCCTCGGGATGGTGTGTGGTGAGATGCTTAGAGGACGGAGCTTGCCAAGGGAGCGGGGGGTGGGGGTGGGGGGGTGGCCTTCCCAGCCTCGGCATCTCAAGGCGAAGGCACTGCCATTCTGTCAGGACATCGTGGCCAGAATCCGTGTTCATGTTTATGAACACATGTCAACATGCTGCTTGGTATGCAGCACGACAAGCCAGGTCCCAGCGCAGACGTCACTCATGTGGTGGGGAAATGTGGCCGAGTCCTGCTGAGGCGTGTCCTCGTGGGCCGTGTCCTGGTGAGGCGTGTTGACTTTGCACCTGAGGCCCCGTCTTTCCAACAGCGATAACGAGCTCCATGAATGGGGTGTGGACAGAATGATTAACCAGAGGAATTGCCCAGGAACACACCTGCTCGCCATCCGGCCTCTAGTGTTGACTCGGGCGGCTCTGAGGAGATAAGCCGCTCGTGTGCGGATCGCCCTCTCCTGGCCCTTTTCCTCTCAGGCCTCCGCCGCTGCCTTTTCCCCTTAAGCCTGGGCCTGATCCATCGCCCGCGGAGGGACACGGCCCTTCTGAGAGGGAGCCAGAGGGAGGGAGGGGGATAGTGCGCCCCCTGGGGGGTCCCGGACTGGAGGTGCCTCCGGGGTTGACGGGGAGAAACGCTGGATGTCGTAGGAGCAGAGGCTGGGCAGCCAGGGAGTCACGTGTGGCTGGGTGTTTGCGCCTCCTCCCTTTAACGCAAAGTCTGTGGACTCCCTGTGGCTGTGGCTCCTCCCGCAGCAGCCGGCTGCCAGCGAGGTCTCCGCCGGGCAGGCAGTCCGGCGAATTCATTACGAGTGTTGGCTCATCTTTTTTTTTTTTTCCAATATATATTTTTATTGATGTCAGAGAAGAAAGGAGAGGGAGAGAGAGATACATCAGCAATGAGAGAGAGTTGTGGCTCGGCTGCCTCCTGCACGCCCCCCACTGGGGATGGAGCTCACAACCCGGGCCTGTGCCCTGACCGGGAATCGAACCCTGACCTCCTGGTGCATCGGTCGACGCTCAAACGCTGCGCCCCGCCGGCCGGGCCGGAGTCTTGGTTTATCTCGTAAAGAGCGGCTGTGAAGTAAAACTGGCTGTTAGGGGGAGGCCTGGGGCAGGCTGTTTGGTGGACGAGGCAGCGGCACCTCTGAGATGAGAGATCTCAGTGGCTGGCGGAGTTCTCTGAGTGTAAACTGCCTTCCTCGTCCAGGCTGGCTTCCATGCAAGGCACGCTTTCCCGTCTCGTCGTTATGCCCCTGGGCACGGCCTGCTGCGCCTCTTCCTCCCTCCACTGGCTCTCCAAAATGTCAGACCCCCTCTCTCCATGTCCAGGGGCTCCTTTTCACATCAGACTATTGCGAGCCCCGTGGCCCCCAAAGAACCCAGAGGCTCCTCACAGGTGTCTGTCCTCACGGCCAAGTGCACCGGCTCAGCGCACGCGCCTGCCAGCACGAGGGGGGCGGGGGCGGCCGGGCAGCGCCCGCCGGGACCCGGGAGCCGGGCATCTCAGCGGGCCGTGCACGCAGACGTGTGCCGTCAGCGGGGTGGCGAGCCACGCGTGTCGGTGTGTGATAGCCCGTGTGTGTGCGTGTTAGTGTGTAATAACCGTCTTGTCTGTTTCCTCCGACCAGCGCTGCCGTCTGTGCTGAGAAGCACGGAGTCCTGGGAGGTGCTGGAGGTCTGACTCGCCCCCGAGCTCCCGGTCTGTCCCGTGGCCGCTGCCGAGGCGCCGGGCGCTTCCAGAAAGACAGAGAGACTCGGTACGAACGACGGTGACATGCCGACGCCTCCTGAGGCCCCGCTCGGCCCCGCTGTCCTCGCCAGGAGGGGTCCCGTCCGGAAGCGGTTTTTTTTTAGTTTTTTTTTTTAAGCTGCCGCCTTGGATGTCTTCGAAGACGCCCGTTGTTTTCCGTGAGGATTTTATAAACCACGTTTCTACTCCGCCATCCCCCGTGCCCACCCGGGCTCACCCCGTCACCCACCTCAATAAAGGCTCCTTCCTCTTCGAACCGCTGGTCTGGGCCTCTCTGTGACGCCGGGCGGCTGCTTTCCCTCAGTTTACCTTGTCGCTCCAAAGACAGCCCCGTCGACAATGAGACCTTTTCCCCACAGCGAGGGCACTTGTTGGGGTTCATCCTGGAGTCGCAGGGACGGGGGGACGGGAGGGGGCCTTCAGGAGCTGTTTTCCCTCCTCCCGGCCGGGTGCTGGGCAGAGGCAGGCATTGGCACCCCCCAGCCCCCGCCAGGCTGGCAGCGGCTCCCATCCACCCTCGCCCACCCGCATGATCCTCTGCTTTCCTGCGAGGGCCCCGGGAGACGGGCGCTTCACGGCGCGGCCCGCTGGGGTCTGCAGGTTTTTGCTTCTCCCGAGAGCGGGGGACGCAGGGTCCGAGGCCGCATACACCAAACCATTCCTCAGAGTGGCGTTGGCGGCCATGGCTGGCCCCGTGGTGCCGCCTGGACCCACGGTGCTCCCTGGACCGCCCGAGTGGGACGTGCACGGAGCCCCGGGCTGGTTTGGTGTGAACAGGAGTCTAGACAGCCGCCTGCTCCACCCGCTCGCTTCTTCCACGTTATTTAAAAAAAATATATATATTTTGCCAAAGCCGGTTTGGCTCAATGGATAGAGCATCGGCTTGGGGACTGAAGGACCCGGGTTCGATTCCGGTCAAGGGCATGTACCTTGGTTGAGGGCACATCCCCAGTGGGGGGGGTGCAAGAGGCAGCTGATCGATGACTCTCTCTCATCGATGATTCTAGCTCTCTATCTCTCTCCCTTCCTCTCTGTACAAAATCAATAAAATATAAAAAATAAGAAAAATAAAAAATATATATTTTATTGGTTTTTACAGAGAGGAAGGGAGAGGGATAGAGAGTTAGAAACATCGATGAGAAACATTAGCAGGAGGTGTGCAGGAGGCAGCTGATCGATATTTCTAACTCTATCTTTCTTCCTCTCTGTAAACAATCAATAAAATATATTTAAAAAATAAAAATAAATTGAGGCCATTTATCCCCTTGTAAGTAAAATGCTTTCTACTTTAAAAAAAATATATATTTTTTTTATTGATTTCAGAGAGGAAGGGAGAGGGAGAGAAACAGAGAGAGAAACATCCATGATGAGAGAGAGTCATGTATCAGCTGCCTCCTACGCACCTCCTACTGGGGATGGAGCCCTTGACCAGAATCGAACCCAGGACCCTTCAGTCTGCAGGCCGACGCTCCACCCACTGAGCCAAGCTGGCTTGGGCTGCTTTCTACTTTTTGCTTGCCAACACACACACACACACACACACACACACGCCATTTAAACCGCAAACAGATCTCACATGATCCATCTGGAAAGAGCATCGGTCTGTGAATACATGCGTATGTTTCTAAAGCCAGTAACCAGCCCCTGTTTGCAAACGGGATTCAAACGGTGCTGACGAGGGCTCCATTAGAGGTTTTAAAACGCCGGTGCTGAGTGCCAGCACCCAAGTGGCCGGGAGGAGGGGCTGTGAGAAGCACCCAGGGGCCCGTGGACTCGGTGTCCGTTCAGAAGTGCCCCCGCCCGCCTTGGGCTGCAACCGAGCTTTTCTCCTCCATCGCCGGCAGGCGGCGTCACCGACGTGGCTTTCTGGCGCAAGCACGCAAACTAGCGGGAAGTGGTTACATCCCCCATCTTCCTAAAACCTGGCTCAGGAAAACGGCTGTCACCCAGCAGGCAAGGCGTCGGCCCCAGTGGCTCAGTGGATAGAGCGTCGGATCTCCTCTGCTGCCTTCTCGCAGCAGAATGACTACATCTTCCTGTGGGAGCCTCCTCTTCAGACACCATGTCTTCCGTGGCTGGCTGGTGCGGGCTGTGTGTGTGTGGTGCAGTGGCCGGCAGACTCATTAGTCAGCAGAGCCAGATACTGACAGGACCACGATTGAAATTCCTTTGGAGAGCCAGATTTTTTAAACTTAAACTCTATAGCTAGGTGCATTGTTATTAACTTAATGAGGGTCCTCCTAAGCCCGGCCTTTGCTCAACACTCAAGGGGCCAGAGAGCCGCATGTGGCTGGTGAGCCGCAGTTTGCCGACCACGGGTCTGATGGGAGCTGGTATCTGAGATCTCTTCCTCCCATGGCGGCTGGTCACCCAGCACCACCCGGGGCAGCCGCCCCTTCCTCCCCGAAGGCCTATCTGGGCGCTAAAGAGCTCACCTGGGATTTTTAAAAAATATATTTTATTGATTTTTTTTTACAGAGAGGAAGAGAGAGAGAGAGAGAGAGCTAGAAACGTCGATGAGAGAGAAACATCGACCAGCTGCCTCTTGCACACCCCCTACCGGGGATGTGCCCGCAACCAAGGCCCATGCCCTTGACCTGAATCAAACTTGGGACCTTTCAGTCCGCAGACCGACGCTCTACCACTGAGCCAAACCGGCTTCGGCTCACCTGGGATTTTTAAAATTGATTTCAGGGAGAGAGAGATAGAAACATCCATGCCAGAGAGTCTCCCATTGGCTGCCTTCTGCACGCCCCCTCCTGGGGATGGAGCCCACATCCGGGGCCTGTGCCCTGGCTGGGACTGGAACCCTGACCTCCTGGGTCCCAGGTCCACGCTCAGTCGCGGAGCCCCGCCCCGGGCTCACCTGGGCGCTGGGTAACGCGCACCCAAGCACCCCAGGCCTGCGGGGGTCAGGAGGAGCGTCCGTCCCTCTGTGGAAAGCAGGACCTCAGCCCAGCTGCCGAGGCCCGCGGCGTTGGTGCTGGCTGCGGCTCCGGACGGACGAGGTACAGCTCTTGGGAGCCATGCCAGACCTGCTCAACCGGATCAGGGTGGGGCTGTGGTGCGCGTGTGTGTAGTGCATTTTTTTTCACGAGGCCTCTGGGCGATGCGGACGCTGCCTGCCGCGGGGCCGCGCCCGGAGGTGCCCCCACAGGTGGGGCTCCGGCAGCTGGGGTGAGCGGAGGCGTGGGCTCCCTCCTGCCGTTTCCCGTCTGCTGCTGGGAGAGCCGGTCGGGCTCTGGGTCACGGTGACAGGCGGCTGCAGCCATAGCATCGCTCCCTGCAGGAGGGGCGGCCAGCTCCTGACTCAGCCTGGAGGGACCGGGGAGCCGGGGGGCCCTACCGCCCGGGGCCCCTCCCTCTCCAGGGTCCACCTTGGCTCAGGACACGGGCCTCAGGTGGGCTCTGAGGGGCGGAGGGCGGGGCCTCGTGCAGCGTGGGCCGTGGCTGTGATGAGCATCAGGTGTGCCGGCCGGCCGTCACGCCCGTTCTGGGACGGGGCGTCCTGGCTGCTCACACCTCCCGGTGGGGAGAGTGGCCCGGCTGCAGCCCAGAGGGCACCGAGTCCGCCAGAGGCCATGGTCCCGTCTCCGCCGTCTGGAGGGGAAAGCGGATCCTCACCGGCCGGCATCCCGCCCGGACCTCAGGGGTCCCTGCGGGGTTGCCCCCCAAGGTAAGCGGGGTACCGGCCCCGGATTCCGCCACGGCTCCCAGCGGAACAGGCCTTGTCCACCTGCGGCCGCAGGGCCAGCTGGCGCCTGTTACACCGTCGAGTCCCCAGAATCTCCCGCGGCCTCGGAGGTCGGGCCTGAGGAATGGGCTTCACAGCGGCACCCGGTCCCTCTCCCAGAGCGGGCACCCGGTCTCCCCGGCATCAGGCGCTCTGGACCGCGGGAGGGGGACGCTCCGCAGGCTGTGAGCTCCCGCCCCCCGTCCTGCAGACCCCTCCGGCCTCGTCCCGGTCCCTCCTCAGAGGCGCGGCTCCTGCTCCCATCCTGGTGCCGTGGAAACAGGACAGACTTTTAAAAAAATATATATTTTATTGATTTTTTTTTTCAGAAAGGAAGGGAGAGAAAGAGAGAGTTAGAAACACTGATGAGAGAGAAACATCGACCAGCTGCCTCCTGCACACCTCCTACTGGGGATGTGCCTGCAACCAAGGTATGTGCCCTTGGCTGGAATCGAACCCGGGACCCTTGAGTCCATGGGCTGATGCTCTGTCCACTGAGCCAGACCGGTTAGGGCAGGACAGATTTTTTTTTGCTGCCAACTCTGGGCCCACCCGGAGTGGGGTCATGACGAGGCTGTAACACCTTTTTTTTTCCCCCCATTTATTTATTGTTGTTTTAAATCCTTGGACAGAAACAGAGAAAAACCCATCAGTTGACCTGCGCACATGCCTTGACAACCTACTTTCTTTAAAAAATTTTTTTTTTAAATTTTATTTATTTCAGAGAGGAAAGAAGAGAGAGGGAGATAAACATCCATAATAAGAGAATCATTGTTCTGCTGCCTCCTGCACGCCCCCTACTGGGGATGGAGCCAGCCACCCAGGCACCTGCCCTGACGGAATGGAACTCGGGACCCTTCAGTCCGCAGGCTGAGGCTCTACCCACTGAGCGACACGGGCGGGGCGCGGGCGGGCACGGGCAGGTGGAAAAGGTGGGCCTACTGGGTGCCGGGGGCGGGGCGGGGCTCAGGTCCCACCCCTGGGCCCCCTGGGAGTTCAAGGCCGGAGCGAGGCCCCAGGTTTCCACCGGGGCTTCCCGCCCATCAGGAGGCACTGTCCGCCCAGGGCGGATCCTTCCAGAAGCGGGCGGGGCGGCCGGGCCGGGGTCCGGGTCCGGGTCCGGGCGGGCGGGGCGGGAGGAGCTGCTGGAAGTGAGTCCCTGTGGGCGGCGCCGGCGCCCGGACACGTGCGCGCGAGAGCAGGTGGGGAGGCCGCTTCCTGCGGGTTCCGGGGCGCGGGGCGCGGGGCGCGGGGTGCAGGTTCCGGGGTGCAGGTTCCGGGGTGCGGGGCGCGGGGTGCGGGGCGCGGGGTGCAGGTTCCGGGGTGCGGGGCGCGGGTTATGGGGCGCGGGGCGCGGGGTGCAGGTTCCGAGGTGCGGGGCGCGGGGCGCGGGGCCCGGGTTCCGGGGCGCGGGGTGCGGGTGCGGGGCGCCGGGTGCCCGGGGCCCCCCTTCTTTTCTGGGAGGATCCGGGCGGGATGGGCCGGGCCGGCAGGACCCCGGCCGCCAGCGGGGGGCGCCTGTGGCCGCGCCGCCCAGTCCCCGCCGGACCCGCCCGCCGCGGCCCGGGCGCTGACGCCGCTCCGCTCGGCGGGACGGGCGCCGGGGCCGAGCGGGCAGGTGAGCGCGGGGCCGGGGGCGGCCGGGGCGGAGCGCGGAGGGAGGGCGAAGCCGGGATGCGCCGCCGCCTCGGCCTGCGCCGCGGGGCCCGCGGCTCCTCCGGGGGAGGCTGAGCCGGCCCCTCCCTCGCTGTCTTCCCGGCTGAGTTGGGGGGCAGCTGGGGAGGTGCCGGCCACTGGGACCGCAGCCCCCCTCCGCTCCCCTCCTCTGTCTGGCTGGGGTCTGGGCACCGGCTCCCCGTGCCCCTCCCTCCGCCCTGGGCCCGGCCCAGGGCTCCTGCGGGGAAGGGGGGGGGGAGGGAGAATGTGCCCCCATGGGGCCCGGCTGGCGGGTGAGGGGCCCCGTGCCCCGTCCCCACCCAGGACAGGCCCGGCGGCGGCACAGCGCTGCCCAGGCCGCACCGCCCTCCTGTGGGAAGCTGGGCTTAGGGGGCGGCGTGGTCAGTGTCCGCACGCGGCCGGCCCTGGGACAGCAGGGCCCACTTAGGTCCAGACCAGGTCCCCGGGTTCTGCACTGGCCCCCGTGGCTGGGAACCCCCGGTGTGGTGCGGAGCGATGGCTTTGTTCTGACGGCCCACGGCCGCCGAGGCCACGCTGTGGGCGGCCTGAGATCCTGGGATTTGGTGTGGGGGTGTGGGGTGTCGGGTGGGGGGTGTGGGGTTGGGGGGTAGGGGGTGCGGGGTGTGGGGGGTGGAACCAGCCTCCCACGGATGCCAGAGAGAACGGTAGCTGAGTTCTGGGGGAGTCAGAGGTCCCGGGGTTTTCTCGGTGTGGGGTGCCCTCACACCCCCTTGTTTGAGTGGCCACTGCGGTCTGTTTGAGGGGAAACAGCCCTGGAGGAGGCTCCGGAGACAAGCCCGGGCTGGGGGCTGGAACAGTCCGCCCGGAGCCAGCGGTGGGCGGGCCGGGGGCGCAGATGGGACAGGAGATGGGGCCGTCTCACTGGGGGAACCCCCAATCTCACCTCTGCAGAAGGAGCTGGGCAGGGCGGAGACGTGGCCGGGACCTGGGTCCTCTCCGGTGCTGGAGGGGGTGCTCCTGGCCTCTGACGGGAGGGGCAGGGGGAGCCTCCAGTGCAGGAGGCATGACGCCCCTTGAACGGTGGGGTCCTGAGTCAGGGCCGGAGTGATGAGCCCCACGTACAGGCGGGAGAGCCGAGGTCGTCAAAGGCCGATCCTGGAGCTGGAACCCGGGCCCAGCCTCCTGGGGTTCTGGGGGGGTGTCCGTTTGAGTATCCACTGGCAGCTGACCCCACCTGGCAGGCAGAGTCTCACGTGGGTCCGTTAAATCCTGCCAGAGCAAAGCAGTCTGCCCACCTCCCTGCCACCGCCCTGCTCACGTCCCCCCTCCCGTCCTGCCCCAGCCGAGCCCCCCCTCTCAGGCCCCGTCCCATGTGGCTGGGCACAGAGGGCGGCTGGTGGGGGACAGTGGCTGATGCGGACGCCAGCAAGGAGCCTGAGTGGCAGGTCTGGCCAGGGCCTGGTCGGAGGCGGGACTGAGCCCAGTGGCCAATGGGAGCGATGAAGCGGCTGCACTTTGACCCCAGACACCTGTAGCAAGAGCCCCCCCCTCCCCTTCCTGGCAGGCCAGCCGGTGCAGGAGCCTTGAGGGAAATACCTTCGCAGAGTTTGTTGCTGGATCTCTCCGTTGTTTACGCTTTCTGTGCTTTCAGAATCGCCTGCGATGGGGGAGCAGCGCAGAGCTTGATTCCCCTTTTGCTGGTTCTGGAGAGGCCTCCGCAGCAGCTCTGCTGGCTGCAGACTTTGCACTGGGTTTGGGGCCGGAGGCTGTGCAGACTTCTCGTTTTAATAGGGTGGCCTGCGGGGGCAGGGGGAAGGGGCGGGTTCTGAGGCTTTCGGCACCAATTACCCCAAACCCCAGCAGGCCTGGACCTCGGCTCCCTGTGTCCCTGTGCGCCCGCTGGCCGCTGGCCGCTGGAGAGCCAGCGGACGGCCAGGGTGACGGTGGCCCCTGCAGAGGGGACCAGGCTGGGGTGATGGTGGGAGCCTACAGGCTCTGGCGCACCCCGTTTGGGAACTGCAGAGAGTGGTTTCCCAAGCTGTCTGGCCCGGGTCCCGAGAGGCGAGGATGACCCCCTCGCTGCGGAGTTTGGGGTCAGCTGGCAGGCTTCTCCTCTCTCAGGAGTGCTGTGTGACCCCCAGAGCCCCAGTCCGCTGTGCCCCCAGGGGGAGCGCTCCCTCCCGCCCCCTCCAGCCCTTACGGCGCCTCCCCTCTGTAAGCCCGTCCTTCTGCTGGTGGGGGGGTGCAGTGGGCCTCAGGATGCTCAGCCCCCCGGGGCGGCTGCCCTTGGGGGCCCCTGCAGCACAGGGGTCTGTGGGCGGGATGTGGCTCTGCGGCAGGGGCCCGTCTCTGCCTTTGGACATGGCACTGGGGTGGAGGGTCACTTTAAGAGGGGGACCGAGAAAGGCCGGAGACGCTGTCCCCAGGCCTGCAGGCCCTCTCCTGTAGCCAGCTGTGGGGGGCTGGGGCGGGCGTGGGGCTGTGCAGGGGCTGGCCGCCCAGCTGGCGTGTGCATGAACGGGCGATCACTCGCGAGGCCTCTGTCTGGAGGACGGAGCTGGGGCTCCGGAGGGAACCCGGGGTGCTCCCCACTGGGTGACTTCGGGCCGGTGCGCCCGCCTCTCTGAGCACCCGTCTCTCCCGTGCGAAAGGAGACACGGAGGATGCCCTGTCAGAGGCCGCGGAGCAGGTCCGGATCCGATCCAGAGAGGCCAAAGGGACTCCCCCATCCCCCCCCCCCCCCCCTCCGTGGCAGCATGGGACCGGGCGGTGGGAGGACTGGGTGGGACGGTCGGGCCGGGTTTGGTTGGCGTGGTGACTGTTTCTATGGGGCCTTTTCTCAGGAAGGGTGCAGCCAGTCCTCCCTCCACCCCGCCTGCAGCCCCAGCGGGGGACCTGGCCCTCTGGAAGGGGTGTGGGGTGGGTGCTGATGGCTCGGGAGGAGGGGCCCAGGCCGCAGTCTCGTCTTGGCTGGGTGTGTGAGGGTAAGCACCCCTCTCGCCCCGCTCCCAGCCTCCGGTCCCTCCTCTGTAAAGTGGGGACACACCTCATGCTGGAGGGCGCGCCTGGCAGCCTGGAGCCGCTGCTTTGCATCTGGCTGGAGGGGGGTAGGGTGCTGGGCCTCTAGTTCCGCACCAGCCGGGGTGCAGGGTCAGCAGGTGCCCAGGGGGACAAAGACCGAGCCAATGGGCACAGCAGGCGGGGGGGGGGGGGGCAGGCTGCCAGGCCTCCTCCCTGACCTTGTGCTTCTTCCTGCCAGTGCTGCCTCGCAGCCAGAAAGCCCGGGTGGTCCGCCGGGGGACCCAGCTCCTCTCTTCTCGAAGCCGCCGGCACCGCGGCTGCACAGCCCCCAGCGGGCACGCCCCCAGCGGGCGGTTTAACCCCGCGGCCGGAGGAGCCTGAGTGTCCGCGCTCCGGCTGCCGTCGAAGGAAGCGGCTGTGCTGTGTGAGTGGAGCCGGGGGGTGAGGGGGAGGTGGTACCCGGAGCCTGGCTGGGCCGTGCCCCCTGTGCTGGTCGTGCGGGCGGAGCACTGTGCCTCCGTGGGGGTCCTTCCCAGGGGTCCGTGAGGACGGCCCCTCTCCGCTTCCTGGGCTCACAGGCTGGACGGGGGTGTGGTCAGGCTGCGTCTGGGGGCGTGGAGGTCCCAGGCGCCAAGCGCGCCCCACCCCCGCCCCCTTGGGTGAACTGCTTTGCGGTCAGAGGATGAGATGAGACAGAGACTCCAGGAGAGGGTTAGAAGCCGGTCTGCCGGCTGGGAGGAGGAGGAGGAGAGGGAGGAGGGAGAGGGGGAGGGAAAGGGGGAGGAGGAGGGGGGGAGGAGGGAGAGGGGGAGGAGGAGGGGGGAGGAGGGAGGAGGAGGGAGAAGGGGAGGAGGGGGAGGAGGGAGGGAGGGGAGGAGGGGGGTAGGAGGGGGGAGAAAGCTGTGGAGGGGGAAGGAGGAGGAGGGAGAGGGGGAGGAGGAGGGGGAGGGGGGAGGAGGGAGAAGGGGAGGAGGGGGAGGAGGGAGGGAGAGGAGGAGGGGGAGGAGGAGGGGGGAGGAGGCTGTGGAGGGGGGAAGGAGGAGGAGGAGGAGGGAGAGGGGGAGGAGGAGGGGGAGCAGGAGGGGGGAGGAGGGAGAGGGGGAGGAGGGAGGGAGAGGAGGAAGAGGAGGAGGGGGGAGGAGGGAGAGGGGGAGAAGGAGGGGGAGGAGGAGGGGGAGGAGGGGGGGGAGGAGGGGGGAGGAGGTGGAGAGGGGGAAGAGGGGGGAGGGAGGAGGAGGAGGACGAAGTTTCGTTCTCACCGTTGCCAGCTCCGAAGTGAGTGGGGGTCACCTCTCCCCAGGAGGCTCCCATGACGTGGCTGCCAAACTGAGCCGCACCCACTTCTCCCGGTGAGAACCGGGAACAGCCAGTCGGTGCGGCCAGGGGAAGGTGACACCCGGGGAGACAGAGAGAGCGCCCGCCCCCTCGCTCAGCTGCCCTGGCCACGCCGCCGCTCCCCCCCACCCCAGCCTCCCAACATTGTCCCTTCAGTGGCCAACATCTCCCCCGTGTGCTTTTAAAAAACGCGGTTTATTGGTTCCAGAGCGAGGAAGGGAGAGGGAGAGAAAGGTGGGAACGCCCATGATGAGAGAATCACCGACAGGCCGCCCCTCCTGGGGGTCCAGCCCACAACCCGGGCACGTGCTCTGACCGGGAATCAAACCCGCGACCGTGGTTCATGGGTCGACACTCAACCACTGAGCCACACTGGCCTTCCTCCCCATCCGCTCCTCCCCGCGCCTATCGGAATGGCCGGATGGGGTGGTGTCGCCCAGCGGCCAAGTTTTTCAAAGGAAACGAGGCCCGGGGCTGGCAGAGCAGCTGCTTTCACATCTGTTCCTTCAGCATCCTCCGCGGTTACTCAACAGCCTGACCCCGGCTGCCCTTCCCTGGCCCGGCCCTGGTGCCCT